AGACATTCTTTATTCTGTATTCTCGAAACGCAATAACGCCCCGAGATTGCTATTTCTAAAATCTAATTATATTTAGCTCCTGGCATTGCTAACTCTAAAAGTGAAACAAAATAACCCGCGGAATTTATACTTCTAAAATTGAAAAAAATTAAATCTTGAATTTTTTCGTACCATTGTATGCTGTTTGTATCTCGAAATAATAAGCCTGCGATATTGTTATTTCTAAAATCGAAATACAATTAGCTGTCGAGATTGCTATTTCTAAAAACGTACAAATTCGATCTTCTTTATTATTCTATTTCTAAAATGGGAACAAAATAATTCACCCTTAAAATTCCATATTCTAAAAGTGAAACAAAATTACGCCCCGAGATTGCTACTTCTAAAAATGAAACCAATTTTTCTCAAGATGTCTAACATTCTGTATTATGCTATTTCTAAAATCGAAACACAATTAGCCCTGAGATTACTAATTCTAAAAGCGAAACACAATTATTTCCCGAGATTGCTACTTCTAAAACAAAACACAATCGATCTCCAGACATCTTTTATTCTGTAGCATCTCAAAAACTGAGACAATATTAGTCCCCGAGATTGCTATTTCTAAAATCGAAACACAATTAACTCTCGTGATTGCTGCTTTTAAAAACGATTACTGTATTATGCTATCTCAAAAACTGAGACAAAATTAGCTTCCGAGATTGCTATTTCTAAAATCGAAACACAATTAACTCTCGTGATTGCTGCTTTTAAAAACGATTACTGTCGAAACACAATAACGCCCCAAGATTGCTATTTCTAAAAACGAAACACAGTTGATTTCGAGAAATTTTTATTCTACATTATGCTATTTCTATAATCTAAATATATTTAGCTCTTGGCATTGCTAACTCTAAGAATGAAACAAAATAAGTCTCCGGAATTTGTACATTTAAAATTGGAAAAAAATTTAAATCTCGAGTTTTTTGATTCCATTGTAGGCTATTTCTAAGCTCGAAATAATTAGCCTCCGATATTGCTACTTCTAAAATCCAAACTCAAGATGTTATTTCTAAAAACGAAGAAATTCGATCTTCTTTATTCTATTTCTAAAATGGGAACAAAATAATTAAGCCCGGAGATGGCTAATTCTAAAAGTGAAACAAAATTACGCCCCGAGATTGCTATTTCTCAAAAAAGGAGCACAATTTTTTCAAAGTATTTTTCATTCTGTATTATGCTATTTCTAAAATCGAAAGACAATTAGCCCCTGAGAATTCTAAAAGCGAAACACAATGTCTTGCCGAGATTGCTACTTCTAAAAACGAAGCACAATCGATCTCCAGACATTTTTTATTCTGTATTATGCTATCTCAAAAACTGAGACAAAATTAGCCTCCGAGATTGCTATTTCTAAAATCGAAACACAATTAACTCTCGTGATTGCTGCTTCTAAAAACGATTATTGTTGAAACACAATAACACCCCAAGATTGCTATTTCTAAAAACGAAACGCAGTTGATTTCGAGATATTTTTATTCTACATTAGGCTATTTCTATAATCTAAATATATTTAGGCCCTAACATTGCTAACTCTAAGAGTGAAACAAAGTAAACCCCCGGAATTTGTACATCTGAAATTGGAAAAAAATGAAATCTTGAGTTTTTTCATTCCATTGTAGCCTTGTATGTGATATTGCTATTTCTAAAGTCAAAACACAATTATCCCTCGAGATTGCTGTTTCTAAAAACGAACAAACTCGATCTTCTTTATTTTGTATAGGGCTATTTCTAAAATGGGAACAAGATAATTAACCCCGGAGATCGCTAATTCTAAAAGTGAAACAAGATTACGCCCCGAGATTGCTACTTCTAAAAATGAAACACAATTTTTCTCAAGATATTTTTCCATCTGTATTACACTATTTCTAAAATCGAAACACATTTGGCCCCTGAGACTGCTAATTCTAAAAGCGAAACATAATTACTTCTCGAGATTGCTACTTCTAAAAACGGAATAAAATCGATTTCCAGATATTTTTTATTCAGTATTATGCTGTTTAAAAACTGAAACAAAATTAGGCACCGAGATTGCTATGTCTAAAATTGAAATAAAATTAACTAACTTGCTTGCTACTTCTAAAAACGGCTATTTCTAAGCTCAAAATAATATGGCTGCGATATTGCTATTTCTCAAATCGAACAAATTCCATCTTCTTTATTCTGTATAGGGCTATTTGATCTCGAGATATTCTGTATTATGCTCTTTCTAAAATTTCAGATATATATATTTAGCCCCTGAGTTTGCTAATTCTAAAAAGGAAACAAACATTTTTTTTTTGTATTATGCTATTTCCAAAACAGAAACGTAATTAGCCCCCGAGATTGCTATTTCTAAAATTTCTAACTCTCGTGATTGCTACTTTTCAAAAAGAACAAATTTGATCTTCAAACGATCTTTATTCTGTATTGTCCTATTTCTAAAATCGAACCCAATTAGGCCCTGAGATTGCTTAATCTAAAACCGAAACACAAATCCTTCTCGACATTGCTTTATCTAAAAACGAACCGCAATCGACCTCTAACCACTCTTTACCCTGTATTATATTATTTCTGAAATCGAAACACATATAGCTCCTGACATTGCTAATTCTAAAAGTGAAACAAAATTAACCCCAAAAAATTGAATTTTTGAGGTTCTTCGAAACACAATTAACCCTAGAGATCACTACTTCTAACACAATTACTCCCTGAAATTGCTGCTTCTAAAGGGGAAAGAAAATGGGGGTATCGGAGTCCCCTATTCTATTGTAAACTAAGTATTTCTAAAATCCAAGCAAAATTATCCCCCAAGATTGCTACTTCTAAATGCAAAACACAATTAGCCCTCAAAATTGATATTTCAAAAAACATAACAAAATCGGGAATCCGAGTTGTCTATTCTGTTCGATACTATTTCTAAATTGGAAGTACAACTAAGTCCTGAGATTTCTACTTTCAAGTACAAAACTCAACAATACTTCGAAATTGAAATGCAGTTATCCATCGAGTCTATTATTTTTCAAAAAAATTTTTCAATTTTTAAAACTTAAATTTTCGAAATTTTTAGTACTAGTTAATTTTTGTATATTTTTTTAAATTCTACTTGTATCAACTTTTGCTTTCTACACTTTTGACAAAAAACGGATAGAAGTATAATTTTATATCCGTGTTTTTACATTTCTTTTTCTTTTCTCCCTACTTTAAATATTACTACATTTACTTCTGAAGAAAGCACCTTAAAAAATTCACAGAATTACAGCGAACGCACTATCATTCACAAATTTAACCCAAAATCAACTTGCATAGGACCACAACCACTTGTTGCTAAGTCCGTCACACGCATTAAGATCATGAAACCCGATTATTTTTTTCACATAAACATGAGTTCTTTAACTTCAAATAACAAATAATTTATTATAATGCCATTCCACTATTTTGTTTAATCTCATGCTTATCGGCGGCTCTAATGATGATTATTATTTACATACAAAATAAGGCACGAAAATTTTAATTAAGTTTTAACTCATTTACTAAGAAACTCGGCATTTTTAACAACATAATAATTCAAGCAGTGACACTCGGTCAAGTCGAGCCATTTTGTGCCACCTCAAGGCCAGATTTAGTTACCATTTTGTTGTTGTATTTATGAACTTTAATTATTATCATAAGTTAAAACAAAAAATACGTAGAACACGGAAAACTAATTTTGAATAACACGATTCATTTATTCTGGTTTTTGTGCACGTGCAAAGTCAGGATAAAATGCATAAATTCACATGAACATTGGACAAACATGTGGTAAATATTTACCACATAATGCAATCAATAACAGAGGCCGAACGAATCCCACTTTTATTAAACCAACCAGAGCCTGGTGAATCACAAATTTTCGAAAAAAGTAATCTCTGTATTTTTTATTTGCAGCTATTCTTTTTATTTTACTTTTTAATCTAAAATTAATTATTGTTCTTAAAAAATTGTTGCTTTATTTTCAATGTTGCTTACATCACAATGAATCATCTTTCTCTTTAAAATAAACAAATTATCTAAATCCAAAAATTCTTTGTTAATTAGAAGCGATTAATCAAGTGTCGTAATCTCCATTCTGAGTAAATTTTTTGGCGATAAATGCCTTTTAACAACACTTGATCGCTCAACATCACAATTGAAAACAAGAAATTAATAATATCTTGGTAAATATGTGTAGTTGGTCATTGATAAATATGTCTATAAATTAAGAAAACTGCCAAGAGATTAAACTTCCTCTTGCAATTTATCACCACTCCTGACAGTCAACATCATACTTGCAAATAATGTTTTCCTTAGAATACTGCGTATTCCCAGAAAACAAGAAACAAGGAAAAATTTGCTTATCACAACAGCCTAGCAACTATACGCTTTCTTAAATTAATCGACTCTTTTACCACCACGTTTTTTTTTTTTTAATTTTCGCTCGGATTAATGGCGGCTAATAATCCCATCAATCCAGACAAGCCTGCCAAAATGAAACGCCACACATCAAAACACCACTTAGTTCCCAATAGCCAGATTTTTTTGAAAACTTGCCAAAATGCGTACTAGCGGCCATTTGTTCCGTGTTATTCCCATAATTATATCAGCACTCGAACCGTGTTTTCCATCAATTTAACTCGATTTTGCGTCTTCGCATGATCAATAAGCCATGCAAACGTCTGTTATTCAATTTCTCATTAGTTTCCATTCAATAGGTAGCATCTGTCTAATCTCATTAGATTAGAAGCGCGGATCAAAGTTTTAAGATGAGTAAACAGATTTCGGTTATTCGCAGAAAATTAGACGGAAAAACGAACCTCGTCAATGGATAAATTGCTCCGGCAAAAAACGTTCAAAGGGTGTAGTTATTTTTCGTGACTATAAATTTTAAAACTTATGTTGCTGTTCGTGATTAAATTCCGTCCCGTCTGGAGGTCACAAAGTTTGTTTGAACTTTTTCGACTCACCTCCTCCGTTCTGGTAACAGATGTAGGGGAACCTCCAGACGTTCCCCAGGTCCACGGCGAAGCCCACGACCGCGAGGAGGAACTCCACTTTCTTGTTCCATGTTTCTCTCCTCCTGTCGGGGGTCAGAGCCACCACCACCACCCTGGTGACGTTGTCCTTGTTCTGCTTGGAATTTTTGCAGTCCTTGGTCTTGACCGGCGACTTCTTGCAGTTGTTCTCACCATCGGGCTTTTGCTTGTTCGGATGGGAGTTCTCCTTGCAGTTGTCCCCTTCCGGTTCGGCCATTGCGGGTGCTAGCTGACTACGTCCGATGAAACGTTTTCATCCCTTAAAAAAATAGCAACTTTGAGGGTCAAGAAGTGAGATCGATGAGGCAGATACAAGAATTAAGAATTAAACTTAGGACTGAATAAACTTAAAACCAAGGTAAAAAGCAGTCGCATTTGTAGGCAAAGTGCCTTAATTAGGTACATTCTTCTGAATAATACAAAAAAGGGGGAATGGTGAAAAATGTTATCTTAAATATTGCGATAAGAATTCGCACGCAACTTTAATTCCGGTCCCGAACTAAATATTGGGTTTTATCTAAAAATCTTTGACACTCGAATTATTCAGTTGAAAAGCTTAGGCGTGTTATAAATTTGCTGGACACCTTTACATTATGGTATTAGACTTTTCAAAGCAAAAAAATAAAAAGTGTGAAATTCAAATTTAAGGCTGTTATGAGGTCTGATTTTCTTTATAATCTTAGTTTACTTTTCGACAACATGCTTATGAGATGATTCCTCACTAAAGCCATCGATTTTGTATCCATCTATTTTAAGTTTCATTATTAAGTTCGACGTCCTGACGATGCGTTCTAAACCAGTGGTTAATGGTCAACTGAACTAATACACTAAGATGAACAGACAGTTAAAAGACGAGTTATTTAAATTTTAGGTGAAGCTTCTACAGGCCAGACGCTGAAATTCCTGAAAAAATTTCACACCTTTTAAAATCAACTTTCAGACTATATGTAGTAAGTGTCTAAACGGCAGAACTCACACACTAGTCCTGAAAAGAAGCAAAAAATAAAATAACAATAAATCGCGAAAAACTGATGATTTCAAGTCGACTTTATTTAAGATAGTAATGATCAAACCGTCCATTCTCTGATGTATATTCGTCTCCAAACAAGGGATCCCCGAGTTTCTTTCCAGCTAATCGAAACAAAACAAAAGGGGTCCCAGAGATTTTTTCAATTTACTTTAAAAAGAAGACAAGGGATCTACGAAATTATTTAAAACTACTTCAAAAACACAACGCAACGGGTCCCCGGAATTCTTTCAAATTACGTCAAAAACAAGACCCACATGGGGTCACCGAGATTCTTTCAAATTACTTCAAAAACAAAACATAAAAGGGGTCCCCGAGATTCCTTCAAATTCAGTCAAAAATAAGACCAGGGATTCCCAAGATTCTTTCAAACTAGTTCAAAAACAAAACCCACATGGGGTTCCCGAGATTCTTTGAAAGTACTTCAAAAACAAAACACAAGCGGTCCCAGGGAGTCTTTCAATTTACTTCAAAAACAAGACCCACATCGGGTCTCCGAGGTTTTTTCAACCTACTCTAAAAACAAAACATAAGGGGTATTTTAGATTCTTTCAAACTACTTCCAATACAAAACACAAGGGGTTCCCGAGATTTTTTCAAATTACTTTAAAAACTTCTTTCAAATTACTTCAAAAACACAGGGGATTTACGAGATTATTTTTAGCTATTTAAAAAAAAACAAAGAGCTTTGTGAGGTCTTAATAAATTGTTGAAAAACAATACACAGAAATATTCTCGAGATTCTTGCAAAATACTTCAAAGACAAGATATCACGGATCACGAAACTTCGAGATCCTTTAAAACTACTTCAAAAACTAAACGTCAGGAGTCCATGAAAATCTTTCAAATTACTTCAAAAACAAGAGCCACAGGGATTTCCGAGATTATTTTTAACTACTTCAAAAACAAAACAAAAAGGTTTGTGAGGTGTTAATATATTGCTTCAAAAACAAAACACGAAGGATCTCCGAGGTTCTTTCAAACTATTTCAAAAACAAAACACAGGTAGTGTTTAAGACTACTTCAAAAACAAAACGCAAAGGGTCCTGAGATTCTTTCAAGTTACTTCAAAAATAAGGCCAACGTGGGGTCCACGAGATTCTTTTAAATTATTTAAAAAACAAAACACAAGGTGTCCACAAGATTCTTTCAAATTATATACTTCAAAAACAAGACAAGGAATTTACAAAATTGTTTCAAACTAGTTCAAAATCAAAACGCAAAAGGTCACCGAGATTCTTTCAAATTATTTCAAAAACAAAGCCCACATGGGGTCCCCGAGATCCTTTCAAACTACTTCAAAAACGAAACACAAGGGATCCCGAGATTCTTTGCGACTACTTCAAAAACAAAAATTTAAACACAAGTGAGAGAGAGACTCTTTCAAATTACATGAAAAACAAAACAAGGTTTCTCTAAGATTCTTTCAATCTATGGTACTTCAAAAACAAAACGCAAATGGTCCCCGAGATTCTTTTAAATTACTTCAGAAACAAGCAAAGGATTTTCAAGATTCTTTCAAACTACTTCAAAAACAAGACTCACAAGGGATTCCCGAGATTCTTTGAGACTACTTCAAGCACAAACAATAAAACACAAGTGATTCCCGATATTCTTTCAAATTACATCAAAAACAAAACGAGATTCTTTCAAATTACTTTAAAACAAGATAAAGAATCCCCGACATTCTTTCAAACTACATACTTCAAAAACAAAATACAAGAGGTCCTCGAGGTTTTTTATATTAATTCAAAAACAAAATCCACGCCAAACACACGAGATTCTTTCAAATTACTTCAAAAATAAAACCCACTTGGGATCCCTGAGATCCTTTCAAACTACTTCAAATACGAAACACAAGGGATTCCCTAGATTTTTTCAAATTACTTCAAAAACAAGACAAGGAATTTCCAAGGTTCTCCGAAACTACTTCAAACACAAAATGCAAAAGTTCCCATAGATTCTTTCAAAAACAAAATAAGGAATTTCCAAGCTTCTTTCAAACTACTCAAAACCAAGACCCATAAGGGATCTCCGAGATTCTTTCAAATTGCTTCAAAAACAAGCAAGTGATTTTTAAAATTCTTTCAAACTACGTCAAAAACAAAATGTAAAGGTCCCATAGATTCTTTCAAATTACTTCAAAAACAAAACAAGAATTTACAAGATTCCTTCAAATTACTCAAAAACACAAAACAAGACCCACAAGCGGTCCTCGAGGTTTTTTCAAATTATTACAAAAACCAACAAGGGAATCTCAAGATTCTTTCAAACTACTTCAAAAACAAGACTCATAAAGGATCCCCGAAATTCTTTTAATTTTTCGAATTACTTCAAAAACAAAAAATAAAACACAAGTGATTCCCGATATTCTTTCAAATTACGTCAAAAACAAAACAAGGGTTTCCCAAGGATCTTTCAATTTATGTACTTCAAAAACAAAATGCGAAACGTCCCCTAGATTCTTTCAAACTATTTACTTTAAAAACGAAACACAAGAGGTCCTCGAGGTTTTTTCAAATTACTTCAAAAACAAGATCCACACCGGACATCCGAGATTCTTTCAAATTCTTCAAAAACATGACAAAAGATTTTCAAAATGCATTCAAATTACTTCAAAAACAAAACGCAAAGGGTTCCCGAAATTCTTTCAAATTATTTCAAAAACAAGATCCACATGAGATCCCCGAAATCCTTTCCAACTACTTCAAAAACAAAACACAAGGGATCCGCGAGATTTTTCCAAATTACTTCAAGAACAAAACAAGGAATTTCCATGATTCTTTCAAACTACTTCAAAAATAAAATGTAAAGGGTACCCTAGATTTTTCGAATTACTTTAAAAACAAGTCAAAGAATTTCCAAGATTTTTTCAAACTACTCAAAAACAAAACGCAAAGAATTCTCGAGATTCTTTCAAATTACTTCAAAAACAAATCAAGGGAGATCCAAGATTCTTTCAATCTATGTACTTCAATAACAAAACTCAATTGGTCCCTGAGATTCTTTCAAATTACTTTAAAAACAATATAAGGGATCCCAGACATTCTTTCAAACTCTTCAAAAGCAAAACACAAGCGGTCTTAGAGATTTTTTCAAATTATTCCAAAAACAAGCACGGGATTCTCAAGATTCTTTCAAACTATTTCAAAAACAAGACTCATAAGGGATCCCCGAAATTCTTTCAGACTACTTCAAAAACAAAAACTAAAACACAAGTGATTCCCGATATTCTTTCAAATTACGTCAAAAACAAAACAAAGGTTTCCCAAGAATCTTTCGATCTATGTACTTCGAAAACAAAAGCGAAAGGTCCCCGAGATTCTTTCAAACTCTATACTTCAAAAACACAACACAAGAGGTCCTCGAGGTTTTTTCAAATTACTTCAAAAACATGACAAAAGATTTTCAAAATTCATTCAAATTACTTCAAAAACATGACAAAAGATTTTCAAAATTCATTCCAATTACTTCAAAAATAAAATGCAAAGGGTTCCCGAGGTTCTTTCAAATTATTGCAAAAACAACATCTACATGAGATCCCCGAAATCCTTTCAAACTACTTCAAAAACGAAACACAAGGGATCCGCGAGATTTTTTCAAATTACTTCAAGAACAAAACAAAGAATTTCCATGATTCTATCAAACTACTTCAAAAATAAAATGTAAAGGGTACCATAGATTTTTCGCATTACTTTAAAAACAAGACATATAATTCCCAAGATTTTTCAAACTTCTCAAAAACAAAACGCAAAGAATTCTCGAGATTCTTTCAGACAACTTCAAAAGCAAAAATATAGTATAGTATTTAGTATTTATTACGCCAAAAAAAGGGCAATACAAAAATAGCAGTTACAAAGTACAATATTTCAAAAATTAATTACACAATACAATTTTACGACAATCTCTTTTATAAATATAAAACACAATTGATTCCCGAGATTCTTTCAAATTACTTCAAAAACATAACAAGGGATTTCCAAGATTCTTTCAATCTATGTACCTCAAAAACAAAACTCAATTGGTCCGTGAGATTCTTTCAAATGACTTCAAGAACAAAACAAGGAATTTCCATGATTCTTTCAAACTACTTGAAAAATAAAATGTAAAGGGTACCATAGATTTTTCGAATTACTTTAAAAACAAGTCAAAGAATTTCCAAGATTTTTTCAAACTACTCAAAAACAAAACGCAAAGAATTCTCGAGATTCTTTCAAATTACTTCAAAAACA